TATTGTGTGTTATTCCTTAAAGGCCGATAGCCGGAGTAACGTTCTTGAAAAATTTTTGTTTGTTGTTATTGTGTGCAACTCCATTAAGGCCGATTGCCGGAGTGCAGTTCTTGTTCCCTTTCTTCATTGAAGGCCGATTGCCGAAGAAGGTTGTGTTTCTTGATTTCTGTGATTGTAAGAAGTTGATTGCTGGATGGTCTGCTTCAATCTCAAACTGGGCAATCCCAGTTGAGATTGAGGGGGGATGTTGACAATATTCAAAGGTTGTTAGAGTTGTTACCAAAATTAGTTAGTTAAATAGCTTAGGCTGCAAGTTAGTCATGATGGCTATATAAACTGTATTCTCATAGTTGTAAAGATTAATTCAGTATCAATGTAATCAATTACTTTCTCTCTCTCTCTTTTATTCTCTTTCTGCATTTCTGTGCTTCTCTACACTACTGTTAATAATCCATGCATCAACTTGAATGAGAGTGTAACGTGAGCATTAGCAGCCCAACCCAATTGTATGTCCTAGTTAACTTTGTATTAGGGTTTCTTCGATTGTATAATTACCATGTATAGTTTCTTGTAAATTAGAATATTATATATATATATATATATATTTATTTATCTGTTGGTTCCTGAAATATAATAGAAATGTAAGTTTGGCCATTAAATAAAAATTTATGAATTTTATAAAATGTAGAGCATTTGCAAAAGAGTTCATGTCAAAATCAAGCAAGTGAAACGCAAGTTACATGCTTAGTTTTTTATGACGGAAAGCTACAATTGCGTAATACTCCAACGACCAATGATCTAATATATTCACGTTATAATCGATGATTAGTTTTTTATAGGTGGTTGAATTGAGCTCATCAATTAATCACATGGATCAAAGAATTTATTCGAATCTGTTTCAATCTGCAAATATCTACTCATGATGAACAAGGCATTTCTTTGGATAAAGTACAAAAAACTACCTTAACTATTGGTGTCACGACACTTTCATACCTCATCTTTTAAAATTGACAATGTCATACCTCATCTTTAGAATTTGGTCTAATGTTATACCTTCCGTCGTTACTTGGTCATTTACTTTTCAGTTAAATGCTGACGTGGCTTGATTCGGGTCCCACTTTCTATTAAAAAATTAATAAATATTACTAAAAACTAAAAAAAATCATTTAATAATTTTTAAATATTAAAATAATAAAGAAAAGTTAATAAAAAAACCTTCTGTTCGTACCCTTCCCCCCCCCCAACACCCTTCTTCTCTCTCTTCTCCCCTATCTTCATCTTCTTCTCCCTTCCAGTCCCCTTCCTGCAACCCGGAAAAAAAAAAAAAAAAAAAAAAACCGAATCTACAACCCAGAAGACGAGGAAGAAGAGGAAGAAAAAACCCCGAATCTGCAACCCAAAAGAAGAAGGAGGAGGAGGAGGAAGAAGAAGAAGAAAAATAAAAAAATAAAAAAAAACCCGAATCTGCAAAAGAAGGAGGAAAAAAAAAAAACCAGATCCCATCGAGGTGGAATCGGGAAACCTTCGTGACCTTCTTCTTCTTCTTCTTCTTCTGCAGGGCGGGGCGCAGGGGGGTTACTAAGGGGTTTTTTCTTTTTCTTTTCTTTTTTTATTTTTCTTTTAATATTAAATAAATTTTCTTTAGTTTTTAATAATATTTTATTAATTTTTTAACAGGAAATGGATCCCGAATCAAGCCACGTCAGTATTTAACTAAAAAGTAAACGGCCAAGTAATAAAATGTATAACATTGTACCAAATTCTAAAGATGAGGTATGACATTGTCAATTTTAAAGATGAGATATGAAAATGTCATGACACCAATAGATGAGGTAGTTTTTTGTACTTTACCCCATTTCTTTTGAATAATTGGCATTTCTACTATCAGGCGTGATGGAATGTTTATCGAAAAGAATTTTGGGGGCGTCAAGAAAGTATTGAAAACCACAAACTTAGAAGAAGCCAAGCACTCAGTTGAAATAGTTTTTCGCATGCAAGACTTCAATACTGAATACTTAGACGGTGGAGGTTCACTTACTGTTCAAATAATTGGAATTTGGGGTATGGGGGTATAACATGATGCTCTCAACAACTCTGATCGGATTGAGCTACTCAAACGATCCAGCAATGACATCACATCATGCTATACAGCTGAAAGGTAGGCATGATTCTTTTTCCGCAAAACACGGAAACCTAATCTGACTTTGGATCAAACGAGTTTCCTATTTTCTTGGAGATTCCTACAATTTAAGGATTAGCATGCGCCGCAAGTAACACACTCCTAAGAGGAAACAATATCTAATTCTAGATATCCTGTTTGATTCTCTCGGTTTAACACGAATTTCGTATCATAAAAGCTCTTTCACAACTAGTGTAAATATCTTCATCTAAAGCATAACTGTGGTAACGCAAATCACTTGCATAGCGCATATTACACAATCCAGGCATACTCTTTGGTTATTCTCTAGCGCAATGGTGAAGCCAAAAATTGTCGGGTGGATGGGCGAAAGTTTGTGAGTCTTGGAGCTTTGCGCTTTGATTTTTCGGGTGTGAAATGCCCCTATTGAATTAAGTGGAATCCTACTTAAACATTTGAGCTTACTTCGTATTTGGTCTCCTTTCTTGCCATAAATCTTATAGTGCTCGTTACCATAAATGTGTGAGTGCAAGCAGAACATAATTTAGAGTTAAAACAAAAAACACTTATGAAAGAGAATGTTAAGGAGACCATCTCACTCAAAAAGTGAGTCCTAACAACTGGCCCAAAAAGTGAGTCTTATCGACTCACTTGACGGTTGTAGTCCTTACTTCTAACCATTAACATAGTAGTTTTGGGACCGCAAAAACTTTAAAAATATATTAAGTATTTGTATGCCTTTCCCTCCCTCATCATCTCCAATACCCGAATTAGGAAGAACTCAGAAGCCAGAGAAAGAGCCTTTAAATTATCATTCATAGCCTCACTTCCTTACCCAGATGCTTTATCTTTCTTGACCATCTCATTTTAAAGTTTTTTTGTTAGAAATTCTACAATAAAAATGGAATTTTAGCTGTTAAAACTACAAAATAGAGTCTTATCTACAAAATATGTAGAAATGGAATTTTGTAGCTGTTAACACTACGAAATAGAATCTTATCAAGGGGGCGGATTCAATTCGTGTAGGTGTGTGTATACTGGGGACGAGTCGTCCCCTGTTGTTTAGTTTTTTTAACTTATTCTTTTTGAAATGAAACAACATCGTTTACCCGTTTTCATTTAAATTTCCCATTTTTTTCCCTGGGTCTTTGAAAAAAAAATTAGAACGCAGTAGCACTATTGCAGAAAACCAGCGTAGCACTTGAGCACCAGAGCAGCAAGCCCAGAGGATAGGGGCAGAAACCTGAGTTGTAGGAAGGATCTCCGGTGAGCAAAGGGGCGGTCGCCCCTCCTTGCCCCTATGTGGCTTTGCCAGTGCTCTAGCCTATACTTGAGTCTTAATATTGATTACTAATTTGTCCAACGGAGAAACTTTGGCCAGTACCCCATTGGTACCCAAGGTCTGACTATGGTTGTTGCTTTCTTACAGGTAGCCAGACTTGTGTAGCTCCGTCTGCCTGAGGCAGTGCACGAGTTTGGTTCCAACAATTGGTGCTTTCATTGAGAGAATAATCATATTCATCGACCAAATCACTCTACCAAATTACAGTCTGATGAAGGCTCTCCTCGTAACTGTGAATGCTGATGATCTTCCTTGTAAAGATTAAAGGGTAATTTACATTTTAAGTCCTGCCGCCAGTTATACTATGGGAAAAAAGCATTTACTAATATAGTGGTTTCTGTTGTTTTCCGGTGTTTTCTTTTCCTGCAGGTTTGTAGTGCTGCAACGCCCTTTGTTTGGACCTGCTTGAACTGCCCAAGTGTTTGAGATGCCTGAAGTCTTTTAGTTTTTTTTGTTTGGGTTGGAACTTTATTTCTTAGTGCTGTTGTATTTTCTCGACTAGGTATTCGACCGTTGCAAACTGATCAAGCTTTTGAAAATCTTAGATGGAAACTATGTATGGACTAATCTAGTTACAAATTGACTTGGTTTTGCAGCTTGAATTCGTGCACCTGTTTCTTCTACTAAATGCTTTTGCAATTGTTAATTTATGTCTATTTATTTCCTTGAGGTAAAATAATTATATTGCTTCCATCCGAAGAAAGTTCGAGTTTAGCTGCCCGGATCTTTGTTTCAGTTGTTACTCCCTTCGCACATTGAATCGAAGTCTACTCTCTGGATGACTAGATCCCTCCCTTGTGCGTGGAAATTGTAGGGTGGTAATCCTTGTAGTAAACACCGAACAGCTAAACTCGAGATATGAGTATTGAGTAGTCCTATTGTTTTGCTCATAAGTTTTCAACCGTCTGATCTGCAAACATGTATATAGCTACTATGCGTCCATTCTGTTGAATTTAATTTCATCAAGCGCGCTAAAAAATGCCGGCAATGACCTTTTACTGTTAGGATTTTAACTGTTAGAAGACGTGACCTGAATTTTAATAAAACAGTACTTCTGTATAGGCCGTACGCTCTAAATGCAGAGCAAGCTGAGGGGGATTCATCCTACTCCGCAAGGAACCTGTTGTGTCGTTACCACCAGTAACATAAATAATCCACATATGGTGGCATAATAATAACTACAACGAAGACGCTCGGTAAGGTCAAACAAAGCAATTTGTATGTCAGCCTCAAAATGTATACACCGTTAACAGGAAAATGAACACTGTTGCAGATGGTTTGGCTAGCTTTAGCCTCTCCTTAGCGAGACAATGACATTTTCGTTCATTGCTACCACTGTATATGTTTTGAGGCTAACATAAAGCGATAACAAAAACATTGTGGCTAAAGCAATCAAGATACAGCACATAGACGCCAAAGCAGAACATAGAACCAATTAACCCAAAACTAATTATTCTTTATTAAAATTAGCAATACGTGCATGCAACATTTTGACAATATCAGTGCCCAAAAAGAAATTCTTTAAGGAACCAACTTCTCCCAACCAGTAACAACTGGTTTAGTAGTAGCAGGCTTACTGATCGACGGTGGTGATGGTGTCGTGGAAGGAGGGGACTCAATATGGTCGGCTTCGTCACAGTAACCCTTGAGTACATCAGTCTCTTCAGTGGTAAACCCTAGCGTGCCAAGCAAGGCAGGCCAACACTGGTGCTCAATGGTCCGAATGGCTTCGCAACACCCGTGCCCTATGTAAGTCTCACCATTCAAGAAAAACATGACAACCTCGCCGGAACATGCCTGCAGCTGAAACAAAGATTCCCAGCAGTTTGCTGATTCTTCGTCCAACTTCAACCTCGATGCGAGGTTCATGCTTGACCCAATTGAGTCACGACTCAAAGGTCGCGCCGCACTGGCCATGAACGGCATGGCCAGGGCTAGAAGAGCTGTGAGAAGGAAGAGAAAGGAAATAGTGTGAGCTGCCATTTTTTGAGATTTTGATCGATTAATTTGTGGACGATGAGTAAGATATTCGATGTTTGAAGAATGAAGAGAAAGCGAAAGGGTTTATATAGAGGGACTGGAAACAGACGTTACGTGCTTGGGGAGGTGAAGAGCCTCCTGAGAAATGTCAATGATTATGCATACATTATTACCAGATTAGCGGCCAATTAAGACCAATTAAATTGATTGAAGTTATTTCCCAGCAGTTCTTAGATTAATTAGTCGACAGTTTTGTGATTGTTGGTTTGCCAGAGGCGTTTAGCTGGAGTTTAATCTGTCTCTTGGGCTTCTTTCTTGACGGCCTTTTTCTTTGGAGCCTTTTGGTTAGATAGATTGGGCAACCCTTGTTCCGTTTTTGTTTGTTTTTCTATTTTTATGGTTTCCTCAAGTTTTTCATGTACACCACGTATGGTCCACTTATAAATAAATTATTTAATTTAAATCTCACGAATGAAATATTCGATAGCAATTTATATCCTCACCTCTTAGTATATATATATCGTTATATAAAAATAAAAATAAAAATAAAAAGCTTTTTCACGTATAAGTGATATTGTCCACGAGAAATCAAACACTGAAACATCGAATGGATGAATAAATGGTCTTAAGCACTTGGGCCACAAACATATGCATTGTTTGCGTACGTTATAGATGCTACAAAACTACAATTTACAAACGTGCAACGTTTAAATCACATGTGTAATATATAGACTGTTGTAGCATGTTGGTAGGACAATGGTGGAATAACTATCATGAATAAAATCTCAGAGGTTTTGGACATATAAAACGAAATAAAGCAGAAGAGCTAATTTTTGTAACGAAAAGTGCGACTCTATAAATAAATAATATAACCTATACTAACAAAAACGGTGGCTGTAGTTTAGTGGTAAGAATTCCACGTTGTGGCCGTGGAGACCTGGGCTCGAATCCCAGCAGCCACACTAAATAATTTTTTTAGCTCATTTGTTCCTGCCTTTTCCGCTTTCCTTTTTGAACGATAAATTAGAGTAAATTAACTATTACATTTGTGAAAATATATAAAATTCTGATATTAAATTCATATATCCTTAATATCGACCAAACACAAAAAGTGCATATAAAATAAATATTCTTTTAAAATTGTGATACTAAATTCATATATCCTTAAGAGCAATTTCATCCCTTAAGACTTTGCGCTAACACCCTGCTCATTTATCCACTCAGTGAATAGTGATAGACCTCAATGAACAGTAATAGGCCAAGGGCATCTCTACCTCTAAAACTAAATAGTCTAGTCAATTTTATTAAAATATTATTAATTTTTATTATAAAACAATAAAAATTAATAATTTGATTTTTAATTTCTAAGTTTCTCCCCAAAAATGCTCCTCATAACAGAGCACGCCTACCCACCCCCCCCCATCTCCACCCTCCATCAAATCCCCACCTCCCCTTCACTCTCTGTTTCCTTTCCACCTCCCTCCGCGGTCCGACCCACCCCAAACTGGTTGACATCGGCGCATGGGCTCGCCAGCTCCAAACCCGCCGTCTCTAGACCTACGCCCTGACCTTCAGCTGCATCGCCGAATTTGTATGTCATCGTCCTCGACAGCTTCCAAGACCAGCTCGTCCTCAACAGCAAGTTCCGGGTCAATGGCCTCGTCCTCAAAGGTAGTGTTGTCCAGTCGCCGGAGATGGAGTTCTTCGTCACTGATTTCAGATCATAACGTCATGCTGACATCATTTAGGCCGGTCCCAAGGTCTGTCAATTTTTGGTTGGCCTAGAGACCAGCTTAGGCTGGGTGCCAAGCAATCCCATGGGCTGGAAAGACTTCCCTAGGTGACAGGTCATTTTTTTGGCTATGTGTCGGCCTATCCCACCCCCGGTGGAAGTGCTCTAACATCAGCCAAAAACAAAAAGAGCATATAAAATAAATATTTTTTTTAATACATAGATATTGTAACCAAATTACGATGTCCATTGTGTGACTTAACCGAACTTCCCTCTCTTTAGTATAAAAATATCAATGTACTGAAAAAAAAAAAAAAAAAAAAAAAAACATAAACATTGTAACGAGTCATTTTGTAGTTACTATTACTATTGAGGCCATCTCCTGTATTGGGGGACTAAAATTCCACAACAGCAGGTGCATTTTATTTCCACGTGGTGCTGCTGCGCTGACACATCTGTGGGGTGGGCTGCACATGGTGGCATCGCGGAAAATGTAATCCAGGTCAAGCAGGTTGGGTATGTACAGCCTGCCCTGGGCTACACGCTGCCCGATTTCTACGGCCTGATTTTTTTTTTATCTTGGAGACTGATTTTGTTTAGTCATCCTTTAGCTGGAGAAGACTTCGTATAAGAATGTATCAGGTGAACTATCGAAAACACGTAGGTTGGTTTTTTTTTTTTTTTTTTTTTTGAACAAACGATATTATTTATACTAAGAAAGTTGGAGAGTCAGCTAAGCTTCACAATAAGCTAGTAATAATGTGGTTTAAATTTATCTTTGGTAAGATTCAAATATAATATCTTTTACTTACAACTAAAGAAGAATACCATTAAATTATAGTACTAAGTGGCAAGATATAAATTGTGTTAGGTGACCAGATTCACTAATATCTACTTGTAGATGTTAGTGGCTATAGCTTTGCCAAAAAAGCAAGTTTTGCTCTGGATATTTTCTGGGTGAAGGACCCAAATTGACAAAAATAAATTTGGACCAATTCATAAACCCATTTGTCACATAGTTGATTTAGATGTCTGGGTTTATTTGTCACATCTTATATAAATGCTAGAGATGTAGTCTCATTAATGTGATGAAAATGGCTTTTTCTTCTTGTGCAAATAAAAAGGTATTATTATTATTATTATTTTGAAAAAAAAAACAACTGATGGCAAACCATGATTATCCACTCTTTTCAAGAGCCAAAAAGACTCACATAGGCATTTCAACATCTCCCTAGTCACAAATCTGGCTTTTACACAAAGGTATTATTTTACTAAAAGCAATACTATTGTTCTAATTCACATCAAGAATGGGAAGAGTTTGAACCTAAGACGCAGATTTTGAAAAAGAATACCATATTTATCAAGGCAATCCACCACGACTAATGCATTTGTTTTTAATTTTAAAAACTGGACAAGTTGGTGGCTTCGACACCGCAATCCATCTTTTTCAGGACTAGGAAGACTCGCATAGACATTTCAGCCTTCCATTAGCCACCATCGTGCAATTCACTAGTGCAAATAATCAAACTTAAGACATGTTGTGTGGAATATGATCCTAAAATTTTTCCTAAACCAATAGGTCAACCCGAGTTTACTAATAATGCATTTGTTGAAACATATTTGGTTGCAATGCACGGATGTATTTATGTTTGTTCAATTAAATAAATTTTACAGTCTGATGATATTCTTCATTACTTTTAATTGAAACGTCTTTGATTCGAATCTTATATATGAAGAATTCGATACCAAATTAGGTTGCCTATTGTGTGGCTTAGCCGAACTCCCCCTTCCCTTAATGTAAATATATCATTATACTAAAAAAAAAAAAAAATGATTCACATGCATATATATGAGAAAATGTGATCGAATTTATTGTTAAAAAAAAAGGATAAATAGTGAGGAATGAGTGACATGTCATTTTCTGATTTTGATTTTTATGGTAATGAAGCCTCCCTTATCTTCTTGTTGATACAACAGTTCAACTTCAACTTCAAATCATAAAGTTTTTTAGGAAGCAAAAGGTCAAATTAAATACTCACGAGTCTATAAATTAGATTCAATGAAAGTGCACAAAAAATAATAGACAAGCCATGTTAATATGTCATTGTCGATCCATATTTTATGTTATTTTCTTCTTCTTTTTAGTTTGCTATTGGAAGTGAACGTCACTAGGATGGCAATGCGTCCATTGACATACCATGACTAACTAATTTACTCATGCAACTTAGATAACAACTTACATGTACAAGTATACGGGACATTTCATGCCAATTAAATACGAATGTGTATAAATACTTATATATATATCTTTATTTCATTGACATAGAACGTCAACGTGGTAGTGTACTCGTGCATGCAAGTCTTTCTCACAGCTGAAGCTCATAAAGATTATACTATCATTATAGATAATCAACCGACACCATGAATTAACACAAAGTTCTAAATTACCTTTCACAAAAAAGGATCAAGGAATTACAGTCAACCTCTTGCTTCATATGTACTACAGACACTGTTATGGAATTTTATCATTTCATGTGTACTACAAACACTATTATGGAACTTTATCGTTCCATGTATGTAATATGCATAAAATTGATGTTTGATATGTTCCGCATTTAGAGTTCATTAACAAAAAATAAATCCATTTATCATAATTGTGTATCAAGTGAGTATCAAAATTACTAGCCCGCATACAATAAGAGCTCAATTTTGAGTTGGCTCAATTAAAAGATGTCACGTGTTTCTTTTCTTTTAAAGTTCAAGAGAAATTCAAAAATATGCCTATTATTTTTTAAAACAAAATAAAATATATATTAAAATATCAAACCCCAAATAAATAAAAAATATATATAATGCTCAGTAGCAAGTACATAAATTTTATCCGTCTAAATAATGCCATAAAAATAATTCGACTTAATTAACATTGTGGTAATCTCACAATCACAAGTCACAAGTCATGGTCTTTTCAATATACAGTGCATTGAAAAGTTCCCGTTACATTTTAATTTAAATGGAACTTTATATTTTTATATTATAGTGTAACGGAACTATTGACAACTTTATTCTTTTTGTGTGTCGGTAATTAATTATCGAGCAGTTTAGCAACAAATATTGTTGGGGGGATGAACTGCCGGGCTTTGAGTATTTAGGGCTTTACATGCAAGTTTTAATTTTGGGCTTGGTTGGGCTTAATCCACTAATAGTTTCATCACTAAAACATGATTAGCATCATATGATTAAGCTTAATAAATTAGTTAATGGGTACTTGATA